AGATAGTTAAAGGCATCCCGTTCCTGGGACGCCTTTATTGAAAGATAGTTAATTCGATTACACGAAATCAACCCCAACTCAAGAATATCCGTCACAAAAAAATCATAACATGTACCTAATATGTTTTTAAAAAGACAACCACATGCAATGGTGACAGTAAAATTCTCGCGCTAGAATATAAACATAGTCCCAGGAACGCAACTCATAAATATTAGCAATATCATTTTAAAGTCTTCTTTAGGTCTTCTACGTCTACTTTAAAATGTATAATATATGTCTGAATTGCCAATATAAATGAGTCAGATTAAATAAATTATTAGAAGAATTTTTTACTACGTTAATAAAATCATTTTTTTAGTAAAATTATGGCTTATTTCCCATCAAAACTAGTTAAGATCTCGATTAACAAACATTTTTTTCATTTTTATAAATACTTGTCTTGCAATTTCAATGCGTGTCCTGATTTCTCTAATAAATACCTTGGTCATTGTTTTTACTGTATTATTATAATGATGTGTAAGTTTCATTTGTTCAAAGGGCTTATTTTTTAACAATTTTTTTTTTTAATTTTAAAAATAATGCTTTTTTTTCAAAATAACTTAAAATTTATTATGCAGGCCATTCACGTTCCGACTTGTGGTACGACTAGTGGTCCAACTTCTGCAGTTGGATCTGAAATCGGACCGTGAGTGGGCTAGTTGGATTAGTTGGACAACTAGTGGTACGACTAGTGGGACGACTTGAAGATCCGACTTCCGACTGGCGACGAAGTCGGAGCGTGAATGGTGAAGTTGGAAGTCGGATCACAGGTTGGATCGAAAATTTCCTCAGTCAGTTGACTTTCGGCACCTGTTACGTATGAGATTTCTATGAAATACTTTACGCAAAGATCTCTAGTTCGCAAATATTTATTAGAAAATAAACTTTCAATTGCACGAAAATTACCTTTTTGTTAGGGCAAATCATTTTCCTTTCTGTAGATCTATTTCGGACATTCCTATACAGGTAAATTTCCGATACTCCAGATTGGCTACAGAAGAATTATCAACATACAATAAAAATTAAATCATACTTGTAGCAAAAGATCCCTAGTTCGCAAAAAAATAATAGAAAATAACTTTTAATTGCACAAACAATAATTAGTCCTATTAAAAATATACGACACACACACAACAAAATAAATCCCAGCTCCAGTTTAAAACAAATAAAATATAGATTTATACCTATACAAATCTTTAAAAACTATAATTTTTTCCTACATCTTAAAAAGTCATAAAAATCAAGAGTTGAAAAAATTAATTAGTTCAGCTCTAGACAAATACCTAGAGAAACTAAACCTAATTTTTAAATTATCATAACATACAATAAAGATAACAAGCACAGTGCTGTCATTTTTCTCCTCCTAATTATATTTTGCGTAGTGTTTATTCGATACATCCTAGAACTGAAGTTGGACCGCTAGTTGGATAGAAAGTCGGAGCGTGAGTGGAGACGAACATCCAACTAGTGGTCCTACTTAGTGGTACCACAAGTCGGAACGTGAATGGCCTGCATTAGTGACACCAAAAACCGCAAAGAGTAAAAAAATGTAGGTTTTGCTTTTCTGAATATTTTGGTCATAATGCAGGCCATTCACGTTCCGACTTGTGGTACGACTAGTGGTCCAACTTCTGCAGTTGGATCTGAAATCGGACCGTGAGTGGGCTAGTTGGATTAGTTGGACAACTAGTGGTACGACTAGTGGGACGACTTGAAGATCCGACTTCCGACTGGCGACGAAGTCGGAGCGTGAATGGTGAAGTTGGAAGTCGGATCACAGGTTGGATCGAAAATTTCCTCAGTCAGTTGACTTTCGGCACCTGTTACGTATGAGATTTCTATGAAATACTTTACGCAAAGATCTCTAGTTCGCAAATATTTATTAGAAAATAAACTTTCAATTGCACGAAAATTACCTTTTTGTTAGGGCAAATCATTTTTCTTTCTGTAGATCTATCTCGGACATTCCTATACAGGTAAATTTCCGATACTCCGGATTGGCTACGGAAGAATTATCAACATACAATGAAAATTAAATCATAGTGTAGCAAAAGATCCCTAGTTCGCAAAAAAATAATAGAAAATAACTTTCAATTGCACGAACAATTATTCTTATTAAAAATATACGACACACACACACTACAAAATAAATCCCAGCTCCAGTTTAAAACAAATAAAATATAGATTTTATACCTATACAAATCTTTAAAAACTATATTTTTTTCCTACATCTTAAAAAGTCATAAAAATCTAGAGTTGAAAAAATTAATTAGTTCAGCCCTAGACAAATACCTAGAGAAACTAAACCTAATTTTTAAATTATCATAACATACATACAAAGATAACAAGCACAGTGCTGTCATTTTTCTCCTCCTAATTATATTTTGCGTAGTGTTTATTCGATACCTACATCCTAGAACTAAAGTTGGACCGCTAGTTGGATAGAAAGTCGGAGCGTGAGTGGAGACGAACATCCAACTAGTAGTCCTACTAAGTGGGACCAGAAGTCGGAACGTGAATGGCCTGTCTAACTTGCTTACTCATGACGCAAGAAACTTAACAAAAATAAACCTTTTTTAAACACTTTAAAAAAAGTTGTAATGAGTTGTCGTCGAAAAGTGCTTCATTTTTTTATTATTTAACGTTGAAATATTCAACATAGAATTTGACGAATAAGAACCTATTTTTCAATAACTCGAAAAGTATTGACTTAGTGAAAAAACTCTATAGAACAAAAGTTTCTTAGAATGACTGATTTTAGGCACTTTCGAACTTATCTTGAACATATATTTTTTCACTCCCGATAAGGAGTGATACTGAACCATAGAGCAAAAGCATAATCTTTTTTTCTTTGACATCTTAGCTAGGCGTAAGTCAAATTTCATGTCAATCCAAGCGATTCTTTAAAATTAGGAGGTTTTGCAATATTTTACAGTGAGTGAATGGACTAAATCTGGAAATAAATTCTGTATATTAGCTTGAAATATTTTAGTTTGCATCAATTCTGGAAATTAATTTGTTTGAAAAGTTATAAAAAAGTAATTTACATGAGATGTAATTTATTACTGCTAATTTTATTATGTATTTTATATTTTGTTATTTTTTTTTATTATTTATTTTTGTGTTTATAAATAAATAATTTTAAGAAAACCTTTACTGTTTTCATTAATCAATTTTTAGCGTTTTTTCTGTAGTAAAATCGAAATTTCATAATATAGATTACAAGCACGTTAAAATTATTTGTGAAAATGCTGAATACCATCCTTGTATCGTCCTCTATTGCACTAGAGAATTACCGGAGCAGGGAACTCGAATTTATTTTTCAATCTTGGCAAAGATTTCAATGACTGTCGCCACCATACAGTCATGTAGTACTTAGGCGCAAGGGGCAAAGAGGTGTAAGTGGGCGGAGTTTAACACTGAATTCGTTTTTACCTTAGAGTAGTAGTAGTAGGTATCTAGGTAGTGGTTTATAATCAATGCTCCCGGTGAGTAAGACACCGTACGTTGCGCAGGCCTTTGTTTTTCAACAAAGCGAAGAGCGGATGCGAGGTTATTTTTAGTTAAACCGTCGAGGAGCTGCTTTTATAGGCTCCTAGCGGAGGCTATTAATAGCCTCGCGTTTGCGAAATTTTACGGGTTAACCTCAGTGTGTCGACAGTGATTACACTGTAAGGCTTTGACATTTGACAAAGTCCGACAGCAACGGCCCTTGCTCCAGGGGTATAGAGAAACCGCAAGTGGATCCATCCCTGAGAAATCAGGGAGTGAACTTCCGTGAGGTAGCTGGGACGACACCCAGGAAAACCGTTAGGCAGCGGCCAGACGAAAAAAAAAACAGAGTCTTATGAGTAGAAAATTCCCATTTCGTTTGAGCACTTATGTACACTGCCTTCCGGCATTATAAGTGATAGTCTCCCCCCAATTAGTGATGTCACGCAGGTGATATCACAGGAAGCTGAAGAAGATAATAACCCCAAATCATCCACCCCGTCAGTTGCCAGCTCGATCGAGCTCTATAATAATTTTATTAAAAACTTAAATCCCCCTACAATAGAAGAGACCCCAGCTTCAGACTACGACTCATATACTCCAGAATCAGAATAAGAGAAAAGCGAAGTCGACACCGAAGACGCGATATGAACCACCATGGAGATGGCAACCATGGAAGCCGTGACCACGCCCCCAAACAAAGAAACTCCCCCGTCATTGACATCATTTCCACCGAGGAAGTGGAGCAAGAGGTAAGTAAAAAGAAAAAGAGGCAACGGCCCACACAAGATTCCTCAGACGAAAAGGAACATAACAAGAAAACCAGATAAATGGCTAAGAAGGAAAAAGCCAATGAGCTTTTGATGTCAGTCAATGTGCTGATAGAGCAGATCAGATGGCTCAAAGAAATTCAAGACCTTCTCGCTCAGATGGCTGAGCAAAAGTCCAGACAAAAAAAGACAAAAGAGGCGCCGCTACTGAGAAATCCAGTAATAGTAGCGAGACGACAAAAATGAGTGTTGCTGAAAAGCAAACACTGAAAATCAACGAACGTGAAGACCAGGAGCTCACTAAAGCTGCAAAAGAGACACAAAAAAGAAGTGTGCAAAAAAAGAAAGTCCAAAAAAACTTTGAGGAAAACAAGAAAGTCGAACCCCAAGTAGAAAAAGACACCACCGAAAAAGACTCTCAAACACAGACAAGCGAGGCTAAAGCAAGAAAAACAAAGCATCCTGCGATAATTTAAAAAACTGTCGCAGAGCCTCAAAGTATACTGCAGAAAACAGCAGAATTAATTAAAGTTGTTAGTTTCTCATTAAATTGTTTGATCCTTTAAGGCGATGATAAGATGATCTAAAATTACATGTGAATATTAAAAGCAAAATTATTTTATTTTAATATTTTGTCATTTCATTTAATTTTATTTAATAAAAAATAGTCAACAGGAATATTCACCTGTAATGTTTTAGGTGATAGGTGCATTTGAAATTACGAAATGGAGAACAGCAGCAGCTTCTGCCGTTGCAACTAAACACATCTACGAAAATAGAAATAAACCTTGTAATATATTGGCCATATTAGGAGCTGGTCAACAGGGATGGGCACATGCTGAATGCTTTAAATATTTCTTTAAGTTTAAAGAGGTATAAAATAAATTATTATATTTATTACTAATAATTATTATAAAAATAGTTTTTTCTAATGTTTTTTGACTAGAATGAGCTTTATATCGGAAGCCAGGGGCTGCTTTTTCACAACCGAGTTTGCTAAATTGGTTGAGTTTACCGAAAGTACAAGACGAATATAGCCGAAAATGTCAAAAATATTTCGGTTGAGCAGTGCTGGCATATTTTTATATTTAATTTTAATACATTTAATATATTTATATTTAAAAAGTACATTTTGATTACCTATACTATTTTATGAATTCTGCAGTTTTTAAGTTTTATGAAGAAATAACGAGTAGATATTTGTTTCTGTCGAGATTAATTGCAAACATCTGTTGCAATCTGGCAACTGCTGATTAACGATTGCCAAATTTATCCCCTAATCTACCGAAGGGTAAAATTTCTAATAATTAACTGCAAAGAAACAAATATTTACTAATTCTTGTTTTATATAAATCAAAAATTGCAGAATTCGTAACACTATATAAACAAAATGTACTTTTCTAAAGCTTTATCTTTTTATATTTGAAGCATACAGCATCTACATTATAAAAACATGCCAACACTGTTGTGCTAAAATTGTTTGTTCCATGTTTGACATTTGCGACTATAATCAGCTTGTACTTTCGGTGAACTCAACCGCTAAATTAGTTACACCAGTTTATTAGGGCTACAGTCAGAAGGTTGACCGAGATATTAGAGAAACACTCTTTTGACTTTTTGTCAAGCTTTAATATACATAAAAAATATGTAAATATTTAAAAAATATCACAATTTGTCAGTGTTACTTACTAGTCGTTAAGATTATTTAAAATAAACTTGGACACTCGACATTAACAACACAAATATAAAATATAATAATGGACAATACATTCTAAAAATTTTAAAAATTTTGGTCAAGATAGTAAAACTTAGTTTATTTCATGACTTCTTTTGATAGTGTGTTTTGACTCTGATACATAGAGAATTGAAAGTAAAGAACAATCTTATTAAAAAGTAATTAGTTGTTCTTAATATTGTATTTGTTTTCGAGAAAAAAGAGGCCCATATTGAAGAGTTTAAAACAAACAAATGTTTCTTGAAAACAAATACAATATTAAGAACAACTAATTACATTTTAATTATATTGTTTTTTATTTTCAATTCTCTATGTATCAGGGTCAAAACACACTATCAAAAGAAGTGATGAAAAAAAATAAGTTTTACTATCTTGACCAAAATTTTTAAAATTTTTAGAATGTATTGTCCATTATTATATTTTATATTTGTATTGTTAATGTTGAGTGTCCAACTTTATTTTAAATAATCCTAACGACTAGTAAGTAACACTGACAAATTGTGATATTTTTTAAATATTTACACATTTTTTATATATATTACAGTGTCCTGAAGAAAGAATAAAATAATTCCGAAAGCTTGACAAAAAGTCAAAAGATTGTTTCTCTAATATCTCGGCCAACCTTCTGACTGCAGCCCTAATAAACTGGTGTTTTTGTTTATATCGACAGTCATATTATCCTGTATTTCTTGTATATATATATTGTTATGATATGTAAAATCAAGAAGATATCGGTTTTGCTTAAAATATTTCAAACTTCAAAAACATTAAAATAATTCAGATAAGTCTAACAATAAACTACAAATATTTCGAAGAATGAAAGTCTTTTAATTTTGGATTACCTGTATTTAACAAAACGTAAGATATGCATAAATTATTTTCTTTGTTAAAATATATTTGTATGACTTGAATAAGCCTAAGTGAAATAAAAGACAATTGAACCGGGTTTTCCAAATACATTAGTGCAGTGATTAAGGACAATAGAATAGAATAGATTTTAGAAAGATAGGTTTTTGTTAGTTTTTAAGAATTGTCGAAAAATATTATTTGTAAATAAGTTTTAGGAAATTTTATAATTGTAGGTAAAAATTTGTGTGTTATCGGAATGAATAAATGGGAGATGGATGACGCGTTTTGATTGGATGAAATTGAAAAAGGTGGGATGATTGGTTTGAGAATGAGACGTTAGTTAGTTTCGGAAGAAAGAAAAGATAGTCAGTTGGTTTCCAAGGGAGAAGGCAAACGGCCGTTGTTCTCGGGTAGTTTACCAGAGGTAGGAAGCAGTAGCAGTGAAAGTTTGTGAGTTTTCGTGTAGTTAGTGTATCTGACAGAAGCTGATCCAGTAAAAGATTGTAAGTTATATTTTCTACTTATATTCCAAGAGTCACTGTTCAGGCCAACGAGAGATTCAGTTGGACCACTCATCATCAGAGAGAGATAGTTTTGTTTTCTGCAGTTTTTTCTTTTATTGATAACACAATTTTTACACTTAATTTACAAAGGATATAAATATTTTGATTAGGAAATTTAGAATAATATTTGGGATTTTGAGATTTCAACTAATATTGTTTGTACCATTAATTTTGAAGGTTCACGTACGTAGAACAAAATTTTGAGAATCATTATATGAGTTTTTGTTTATTGAAAATTTTTGAGTGTTAATTTTATTTCATTATTTTATTTCAATACATAATGTTAGATCCTATATGTTTTTTATTATTCCAGTATTCTTTGGACCTTACCTTTCAAATGTAATAGCATAGATATTGAAGCACGAATAGAACCCTGAGATAAGAGAATTATAAAGTGTGATAGAATCATAGTCGTATCATTTAAATAATTTTAATTAATTAATTAATTAATTAGCTAATTAATTGTTAGGCGCACTAAGACTTTAAATATCACAATAATATATTAATATATATATATATATATATATATATATATATATATATATATATTCAATTATATATACATATATATATATATATATATATATATATATATATATATATTCAATTATATATACATATATATATATATATATATATATATATATATATACATATTCTTTTTAATACATTATAACATAATGACATTATTAAATTTGATTTTATTTTTCTTTCTATCAAATTACTATAAAAGGAATTACTATTAATAATAGCAGAGAATTAATATATTAATATTAATAACAGCAGAGCAAATGTTTCTATGGATAATAATAAATGTTTCTATAGATAATAATGTATATTAATTATTTAATAGAACTTAAAGTGATCCTTTATTTTTGAAAGGTCTTTAAAAAAAAGTTACCTTGGATGTATGTAGTAGGTATGTAAACTGAAACATATTTTTCGTAGTTATAATGGCGACACATTAAAAATAGCAAAAAATTATTTTAAAAACTTAATAGAAGCTGCAAAATATGTAAATGTTAGCGAAGATGTAAAATTACTTTTTTTTAGATGTAAAATGTATTTTAAAATACGAATTCTAAATCAACATATTAAAGATAATTACAATAATGTAAAAGAAAAATCACAAAGATTGTAAAATAAATGTCTATTTTTATAAAATAATGTAAAATTTTTACATTTTACCGACCTTTTATATTAAATTTATGTTTTGTAGCAATATTTATTTTGTTTGTAATACACACAATCAAATCGTAGATTCTTATATTTTTTAATTAATTTTACAAATTACTTATTAATTTTCAAAACACGTTTTCACAGAAAGTAACTAGTTATGACTTTTTAGTGCAAGATATGGCATCGAGGTATACTTACCGTTACAGTTTAAGTATTGAAGTTGTTCATTACAGTAATGGAACAACGTTGCCATATGATGCATCGTTAATAGTATATTACATAACGAGAGTTGTAAGAAGCTTATTACATGCGAGTAAAAAAGTAGCGCGCGAGCCGCGTAGCGGCGAGTGCAGTAATTTTACAAGCATGTAATAAGCCTACAACTCAAGTTGTGTACTATTCTTTTTCTACAATTATTTTCGTCCATAAAAATAAAAATAAAATTGCTACTATATTTACACTGACAGATTAATAATTTTTAATCTGTCAAAATAACGGTTGTTAATTGGTTTCCATGGTAACGCGACAAACAGACTTATAAGGCTTATGTGATATTACACATTTTTATAAAACTGAAGCGTAATTTTTTTTATTACGTGCTAGTCATGACGTGTCAGTATCTGTTATGATGCATTTACTTAGCATCCAAATAGTAGGTAATATACAATTTACTAGTAAGAGAGTAGAAAAAATATGATACATACAAGTCTCTTGTCTTTGTCTCGCTATGACGACATGCGCAAAGTCAATTAAAATTAGAACAGCAAGTGAGCATATCTTGTTGTTATAGTATTATATATTTTAGGTTAGTTTAACAGAGGAAGTGTCTATGTTTATGCACACCTTCATTGCAAATTTTGATATACTCTGTAAAATGTTTCGTTTGCACTTATTAAATCAGCAACAGAGTTGATATTACTATGTAATTAAGACCACAAAATGTATGTAAATAACCTGATCATCAATAATACAACGATAGAAAGAGTAAAAACATATAAATATTTAAGAACGTGGCTAACCGAAGATGGAGATCAAGTAAAGGAGATCAGATCTAGAATAGAAATGGCAAGAAACACGTTCATAAAATTGAAGAAATTACTTTGCAACCGTAACCTTAATCTAGAGATTCGCACAAGAATGCTACGTGGTTACATCTTCTCTACTTTAATATATAGCATTGAAGCGTGGACAATAAAGCAGTCTGAAATCAAAAAATTAAACTCCTTTGAGATGTGGTGCTATAGGAGAATGCATAAAATATCGTGGATTGAAAAAGTAACTAATATAGAGGTGTTACAAAGAATGAAGAAAGAATGTGAAGTCATAAAAACTGATAAAATTAGAAAGATTCAATATCTGAGACATTTAATGAGGGGTGAGAAGTATGTATTACTGAGGTTGATTATGCAAGGGAAGATACAAGGGAAGAGAAACCCAGGACGACGCAAAATGTCCTGGCTAAGAAATTTGAGAGAGTGGTATGGCTGCAGCTCATTAGAATTATTCAGAAATGCGGCCAACAAAGTTAAAATAGCGATGATGATTTC